ATGAGCTTTCCCCAGATGGAAAGCCTTTTTCTAAAGCAAAGTTGCACATGGGAGCTCTAGCTTGGAAACAATTTGCTCTTTTTTCCCCAGTCTCTGCCATAAACACTTGAATGTGCATACAACTGCAGAGCTTAATGCCACAACCTCCAGGAGATTGGGGGGAGGGGGAAGCTGCCCAGGATGGGGGATGGGAAAGCAAAGGAAAATGGAGAAATGGCTGTAGTTTGCTGCCTATCAGCCTTTTTCTTTTAAGGGGCAGATGTTGCAGTCGCCGTTTTAAAAAAGTTCCATAAAGTATCGCCAAGGCAGCATGCCTGTGCAGCACACACACGACTTTGGGGGGGTGTTTCCTCCGTATGAACAGCAAGTCGTTGAAGCGTTGAGAAGGTATTATGATTTTTAATCAGGCCCAGAACAGGCCAAGTATAGGCTTTCTGAATGAAAAAAAAAAAAAAAACACAAAACACACAAAAAAAACCCCAAAACAAAAAACCCTACTTAATCAGGAACAGTGGCTTTTTGTGTGGATCATTTGAGGAGAGAGCTCCTGTTTTCAAGTCGATGTGAGGGAAATTGGTTGAAGTTACTCAAACCTGAGGCTGAAGGGCAGTCACTCTATAAACCTTAAGAGTAACCGAGGGGAAAGAAAAAGACGTCAAAGATTGCAAAACTTTAGATTTTTCTCAGTGATTTTGTACAACATGAGGGGAATTTGGGGCCAGAAGGCATTTGTACCTTTAAACCAAGCAACCGAAGAACTTAGTTTTACTCTTAGAAGCAAGAACAGTATTAAAATGCCTTCAATTGGATTGCATGTGTGTAGGTATAATTTAGAAAGAAACTAAAGATTGTGTCATGTCAAGTGTTATTAAAGTCCAGGAAAGAAAAGACAAAGCTCCAGGACACATATTTTCTGTTGAAATAAAAGCGAGCAAGCCAGAAATACACAGATCAGGACAAGGAGGGGTGCAGGGGCTGTTCTTGATTTTGAATACTTGATGGTTTCCTGCAGGGAATATTTGATGCTTTTATCTACTAATTTGGAAGTGGGAAAAAAAGGCATTATTGCTTCGATATTAAAGTGATCAGGGAATTGCACCATTTTATGGTGACAATTTTAAAGAGCCACAGGTAGTTTTGGAAGCAGACTGCGTTTTGTTCCAGGCACTGAAAAGGCGGAGGGGGGCCGAGACTATCTCAGGTGGCCTTGAACCGCTGTCGGCAAAGGGACAGATAACGAGCCCAGGGCAGCGTGGGGGACTTTGCGTTTTGAAGGCTGGGTCAGCCAGATAGTAAGCGTAATTTGCTCTTCCTGCTATAACAGATATGTGGGCATCCTCCCTCAGTTGTATATGCAGAGCCTAAGTTTGCACAGCATCCTCCTGGGAAACCCATTGTGTCTGGCTGAGGGCGGGGGGTGAGGAGGCTCTCCTAGCCTGGCTGACCTCCCACTGCCTCGTCCTTGTCCTAAGCTGGGTGGGAATCAGGGCTCTGATTACAGTGGGCCAGCCCAGACGGCAGCATTTGTGACGTGGGAATCTCTGGACCTGCTCTTGTGGGTATAGCTTTGCTTCCCTGTCGGGCAGCTGAGCACAATAGACCAGATCAGGTTTCTGGATATGGGATTTATTTGATCCACCAAATCCTTAAAGTGGACGAGGATGCCCCACGTGTTCATGTGAAGTATGTCTAAGGACCCTGAGAAGAGGTGGACTGTATCTGAATCAGGGTATAGAGTTTTCTGTAGTTACTGTTTTTTGAGTTCTCAAGCAATTCAAAGCAGGTACGTACTTGCATAAAATAAGATCACTCACGGTCACTAGTGAATGTGCAGTTGAGACTGTTTCCCATTGCTGGCAGCAGAGGTGACAGACAGCTCTCCATTCTGCTATCAGCCCTAGCGGATAGTCACAGAGAGTCTGCCTGGGCCGAAGCTTCCGTGGGTTTCTCCCCTAGGTTACTTGGTTGGTTTCCCCATAGATGTGATGTAGCATTGGTTAAAAACACACAGAGACACACACATGCACACACACATCCCCCACTCAGTGATGCGCAGTTGCCTGATGGTTCTTCGGAGGTAGTGTGGATTCTCCTGATCTAACTTCCAGGCTCAGCGTAAGCCGGGGCTAGCCTGGTGGAAGAGGTGTTATCTGCTCAAAGAGACCAGAGCGTTTGCTTTTGTAGCATGACTCCCGCTGGAGAGTCCCTGGAGATGTTGGAAAGGGGAAGGGAACTCTGTTCTTAGCCACAAGCCTGCCATAACCCAGTCTCTTCACCTGGCCTGGCCTCAGTTGCCAGGTGTGCAAACAGTGAGGGCCACTGTCCCAGCTCTTGTCTGGGACAATACCGAGTTTCTTCATGAAATTCCTTTGTAGGACACAGGTCTCACACTGCAGAAAGCCAGTGAAGGAGGCAGAGGTCCTGCAGGGCCCAGAGGGCCAGAGGGCCCCTCGTTTGGGAGCTGGTCCTGGGGCCCCAGGCCTGGCCTGGGTTATCTTATCTGTGCCACTGTAGAGGAGTGACGTGTGTGTAGCAGCCTGGTCTGCACCCAGCTACCAGAGCACCCCACTGCAAAGCCGCCTGTGGGGTTCGTATTACCTCCATTCTCAAAGCTTCCTCTGCCCCAAAGCCATGGCCTTGCTCTAGACCTTCCTGGTTCCTGCATGGATAAGCCCAGGCCACATTCCTTGCCCACCCTTTAAGGCCCAACCCTTACCTCCATCTGCTCTCTGTGGAGAGTCCTTGCCTCAGCCAAGCTGGGTGACTCTACCCGTGGCTGTGCCTTCCTGGAACATCCTTGATCACCGCTACCTCCTTGAAGGCCCCATAAGCCACCAGAGTAGAAACCCCTCATCTTCCTGCTGAAGGGGCATGATGGGCCTGCGCGCCTTCCCAGTTAGCCGGGGGGGGGTCTCGGGGATTGCGGGGAGACGTTTCTGATCTGTTGTCCTCACGTGCCCCAGAGCAGTGCCTCCTCGAACAAGAGGCTCAGTCCGCCAACACCAGCTCGGTGACGATTTCAGAAAAGTCTCTCCTGGACGCCCGTCTCCGCTGCTGGCCACGGTCGTGGGTCTCGGTGGACCATGATTAACTGCTGGCTCATTGAGCACCTACTGTGTACAGCTGTAGCTGTATAGCTGTAGCGCTGTAGCTACATAAAGTTACAGAAGACTTGGTGGGGGCTTCGGGGCTTGGTAGGAATGAGGTGGAGGGGCAAGAAACGTGAACAACGTCATGGTACAAAAGACATTCCAGAATAGAGCTGTGCGGTGTGCGGCCAGGAGAAGGTGGGAGAATCAGAAGGGCAGAGGGCATCAGTGGGGAAGAGTTTGTGATTGGAGACTGCAAACATATGAAAGGGAGTTTGGGGGAACACTGGCTGGGTGCCTGAACATGTGGCATTCTCTGGAAGGAACTAACCAGCGTGAGGACATGCTGATTGCATACTTAGCCACCACCCATGGAGGCTCTAAACCTGAGTGCTTCTAATTCTGGCTTCACCCTCAGCTTGCAGAGTGAGCCCAGGGAGACCATTTGGATGCAGCTGAATACCCCAGGCTGCTTGCCGCAGCACGGTCGTTGTCAAGGATACTTGGTTGATGAATAAAAAATCCCAGAAACGAGAGGTGAATCTCCGGGAAAAGTCCTGCAGTTGACAAGAGGAGCCCCATCTGGGCTGTGAGTGACAGAGGAGTCCCTTTGCCGGCCATAGGCTGGAAGGGATGCAGGGCTGGACAGGTGCTCGCCACTGCCGGCTACAGGGAAGTTCTCTCCCTGTCACTGCAACGTGCGACAGGGCCGCTAAAAAGGTGACCCCTGTACGAAGGAATGAATGAGATAAAACAGAGCAGGCGCTGGGAAAAAGGGAATGAAAGCTGACGTTCACTGCTTTTCGTTCTCCCTTGGGTGGCTGTGGTCCAGGAAAATGGAACATGAACCTCGATTGTTTGCGGACCATTCCTCCCTTTAAGAAAATTTACATAATTCTTGATGTCAAATTTCAAATAACACAGGAGTTTAAAGAGTAAAAACTACACGTCTCCTTTTGTTCCCTCCTCCTACCCTCCCGGCCCCAAGTTTCATACTTACTGCAGGTCTTTTTCTATGCCTTTGTGCACATGTATTTACATATAAAAATACATAAGTGTAATTTTTGTGTGTCTTTCTGCATAGCTGGGATTGTGCTGTGTGTGTGTGCGTCTGCGCATTGTCTTTCACTGAACAGCATGCCGTAACTCTCCCTGTGGATGAAGGGAGGCCTCCCTCTCACAGCTGTATTATATTCCAGATGGCGGAGACCCAGGCTTTACTGAGTCATGCCTCTGTTGAAAGACATTTATGTTGTCTCCAGTGTTTGCTCGTAAATAAATACTGCTTTAAAAAACATCTTGTGTACATTTGGAGACACATGAATATTTTGAGGAGAGAAATGTGTGAATTTGTATCATCACAGGAAAGAAACGTCTTTTGTTCTGCACTCCCTCCCCTTCCTTCCCCCTGGAATCTTTTATGCAGAAACCTTAGAACCTGAGTGTCAGAAGTGGGTCTCATTCCCCTGCCTGCCCCGGCGTGGGCACGGAGGCCATAGAAACCCAGTCAGTGGGCAGGTTTGATTCACACCCAGAAATGGTTCTTAGACCCTGGCCTCAAGCGGGAATGGAATTGCTGGTTGATTCCAGCAGAGGGTGACTGGTCTAAGTGGAATGTCTCCTTCAGACCCTGTGGCTATTGGCTGTCCCAGCTTCCCAGCGTCAACAGATCCGGCACAGGCTGAGAGGCATTAAGAATGTATACAAGGACCCAAGGGCTGGCCCATCCAGATCTGTGCGGAATGCAATCAGCTCTTTCTGTATGGGATGAGGTAATCCCCTGCTTTTGCTTGAGGGGACCTGTGATTTCTGTGTAGGGCCCTCTGGGGGTTCATTAGAGGCCTCCCTCCCTCTCTCCACTTTCAGATTTTGCAGGGAGCTTTGTCACCAGGCCTTTGGGAACCAGGGGCCCTGGGTACACATTTCATAGTTTGCCCTATGAAGCCTTTGTTCCTATCAGGGATTCTGAGAGTGTCACTTGTTAAGGTCTAAGCAGGTAATTTAGGAAGATTCTTTGCTCCAGTGGCGGACGCACACCATCAGTGAATGGTATTCAATGCAAGTGGGCCCTGCCCACCCTAAACGTCCTGCACGCAGGCTGGGGCGGCCAGAGCCTTTGTCGCAGACCACATTCCATGTTACGTGGCAGTTCCCTATTTTGAATAAGGGGATTGATTGTCTTTGTCAAATAATAATCTGTTTTCTGGAGACAGCCCTTGTTTCTGAAACCTAATGCATGAAAAATACCGAAATGACGAAAGGCTGAGCTATTGTATGACACTTTTTTTTTGTTGTTGTTGTTTGTTTTCTTTAGCTCCCATTTAAATTTGCAGAGGACTTGATGACTGCACTGTCTGCTTAATCTCCCTTTTCGCTATACTTTCCTTCCTTTATCTGACCACTGGAGCCTTTGGTGATGGGAAGGAAGAGGCTGGTCCAGGCCCCTAGAGGAAAGCAGGTGATCAGGGTATGGGGCTCTGACTTCGTTTCCTGGCCAGTCCCAGTGTGGGCTGCTGTTCCTTGGGCTGGTTAGTGATTGAGGATTGGTGATCGGGGATTGGTGACTGATGATGGGTGGCCGGTGATCGGTGGGGCAGTGAGGAGCTCCAGCCTTTGCTCTCTCATTCAGCCCTTGGGCAGCAACAGCCACACCCTCTTTGGAAGTTTCCCGCTGTGCCACCCAGGAGGGGAGAAGCAAGGAAAGGGGAGGACGGCCGAGCGGGGAAGGGCCTATCTCAGAAATACTATTTTTGACTCAGAGGACCAGTGGCCCCTAAATCAAATTTTCTTTGCCCAAAGAGGCAGAGGTAGAAAGCCAAGGACTGGATGGGGGTCTCTGAGCCCTTTTCCACCTCTCAGTCCCACTCTGAGCTCTAAGAATACTGAAGGCTGCTGGTAGCTCAAAGCGGGTGAGTGTCTGTTTTGTGCTAAGAATGGAGGAACTGGAAGGAAGGACACACTGGAGGTGTGGGAACCAGGCGTCTTCTCACTGAGTGACCTGGCCTCCCGCAGGGGCCGTCCATGCCGAGCAGTGGCCAGGCACCTGGCCAGCCGGCACCTGACATGTTTCTACACTGGAGGCCGAGTAAGACCTGAGCCAGAGGACTGTCACCATGGTGGGGGAGAGAGGTGGGGCGGATTCGGGATCCAAGTTCTGGCGAACAAAGACTGAGGGTCATTTCTTTCTAGCCCCTGTGAATGGCCCAAACCCCAGGATTTATGGCAGCTTCTGCTGAGTGGCTGTGCCAGTGGGGACAGAGCAGGGAGCCCAAGCCAGGCACCAGCCGAGCTGCCCTTTGGACCCAGCTGCTGTCCCTGCTGCTGCCCAGCTGTGGGGCCGTCCTCCATTCAAGCTCTTCTGCTCCCCGGGACTCTGGGGTCAGATGAGATCACAGGTGAAAGTGTTTTGGAAACCAAGCCATGATGCAAATGGGACAAAGGAAAAGGTGGCTGCAGTAGAGCCATGTGGGAGAGCAAAGGTGACATCCTTGTCTCCTGGAATCACAGGGTGGAGAGTGGAACGTCAGCTCTGGGTGGTGGCCAAGGGAAGGTGGAGATAGTAGCTTCAAGGCACAGCCTGGGGCTGGCTGTCCGCCCTGGGGGCAGTCTGGCAGGCCAGGGTTTCCTCAGCTCCCTGCTGGGCCTACGTCCTTTTGGAGTTCTAGAGCTGCGTCTTAGGACAGGTGTGCCGAGCCTCCTACTTTGAGTTTCTGTCCTGACCTTGACCTTGCTCACCTCCACGGGCACCCTCCCATGCTTGGGCATCAGGACTTGTCATAAGTCAGTGGTCACAGGGCTTGATTCCTCCTAGTGGGTGACTCTGAGGACAACCAGGCCTCCCGCTGCAGGACCAGCGTGGTTCCCTCCATGAAGGGCTTTCAGAGTGGGGAGGGGATGCGGCTGTCATGGGAGGCCCAGCGCTTTCTCTCGGCCGTGGAGGACACCGAGTCAGGTTAGGTCACCAGGAGGGGACCCCACGGTGATTTACATCCTGCAGAGGGAAGTGCCCAGAAGCCTGCAACAGTCTCCGCTAAGTGGGGTTCAAGCGAGGTCCTCTGCTGTGAATGATGGGGCTGTGGAGCCGAGGCCGCGCAATTTCTCACTTTTCAGGGATTCTGTTCATATTGTCCCAAAGGAGAAACCCATCAAACAACCCAGTCTCTGTGTGAGCCTGTGAGTCTCCCTCCACCGGGGATATTTATTACTTAGCCAGTAAAGCCAGTTTTCAAGGGGAGTAGAATTAAACCAGGTTCTGCTTTTTGCTAAAGGGAAAAACCGCTCCCCTTAGGTGGGAGAATCCCCAGGGTTCTTTCTTCTTGGCCAGGGAGGGAGAAGCGGGAGACGTTTTACTGAGCATCGTTTTACTGAGCATCGGCTAGGGCCAAGCTCTGAATTAGGCCTTTTCTTCTTAGGGTATCTGTGAGATAGGTGCTGCTGTCCTGGGGAGGCAGATGCAGACAGATGAACTCTTAAGGTAAATGCTAATGAATAGAGCGGCCAGAATTCCAACCCAGGAATGTCTGATCTCGACATGGGCAGCTTCCCAGCTGTGGCTTTGCATACTGCTAGCGAGCTACCTGGACATTGATCCCTGACCGTTATCCTTGATCCCCCAGGGAATTCTCAAATGTAACCTGGAATCCACTTTAAATGAACTTGGTAAATAATGACTTGACCCTAGGCCAGTCATCACCTGGGACAAGTGAGGGGGAAGGGCATCCACCCGACTATGTCACTGTCAACTGCATCCCTGGGCTGAGGCTTTCATTTCACAGTGGGGTTCAGGCAGGGCCAATTGCTGACCCAGGACCATGGCCTGGAGGGATTTCAGGGCCTTCCCATGGGCGGACTGGCAGTAGAAGACAGCCACTGTCAGTCTGTCTGGAGAAATCACTGCCAGATAACAATGGTACCCTGTGGCTGAATTCTGGCTGGCAGTGAAATGGTGACAGAGTGTTGGTCCCACCTCAGGTCAGCAGGGAAAACAGTTGGGAAAATTGTCAGCCCTCCTGAAATGCAACAGTTGGTGGTTTTTGTGCTTTGAGTCTTGGCACACTTCGCTCTTGAAGCAGTTGAACAAATAAAGGAATGGAAAAACAGGTGCTGACCCAGAGCTAGAGACAGCTGGTTGGTTGCCCTTCATTGAAAACCACACTGTCAACCCAGAGTCTTCAGGTTCGGGGCGCAGTTAAGCTGTGGGCCACCTTGCGTAGGCTCACTGTGTTTCCGGAGGCTTTATGACTGCACACTGGGGCTGCCTGAGACGCAGGTTTACATGTGAATTTAGCAGAAAAGTAAAGAGTGCTGAGTCACATTTTAAATGCAAATTTGGAGGAGGATTTGAAATGCTTTCATTAAGACACCAAAGCAGGACACTTGTAATACAGCGGTGCCAGGAGCAGACAACCCTGCCATTCTTTGGGGACGTAGATAAAATGGCTCCACCGTCCCCTGCTGAGAGCGAGCAGGCCATCAGCATCGCGGTGGCTGGGGCTCAGCTGCCTGACGTTTCTTTGGCCCCTGTACTGTGTTGATTTCACACCCTGGGCACAGCCAGACTGGCGGTGTCTTGAGAACATAGCCATGAAAAGATGGAGAAAGCAAACACAGTTTCTGTCTTGGAGAACCCCGTGGATTTAGATTCCGAGTATGTTTTATTTTGTTTTGGAGAGTTTTATTATGGATTTTTTTTTCTCCCTTCGTTGCAAAGACATTACAGAGCTAAACCCAAACCGCTGAGCCTATCAGGGCCTTGGAAAAGCATTTGGCCTGAAACTGGAGTTTTTCCTAATGAAGTGACTTTTCTCCTCCATCTTTTTTGTTTGCTTGGTTTTCTCGTAGGTCATTGGATTGCCCGCCCTCAGCACGATGGATCTGCATGTCTTCGACTACTCGGAGCCAGGGAACTTCTCGGACATCAGCTGGCCATGCAACAGCAGCGACTGCATCGTGGTGGACACGGTGATGTGCCCCAACATGCCCAACAAAAGTGTCCTGCTCTACACACTCGCCTTCATTTACATTTTCATCTTCGTCATCGGCATGATTGCCAACTCCGTGGTGGTCTGGGTGAACATCCAGGCCAAGACCACAGGCTACGACACGCACTGCTACATCCTGAACCTGGCCATCGCCGACCTGTGGGTTGTCCTTACCATCCCAGTCTGGGTGGTCAGCCTCGTGCAGCACAACCAGTGGCCCATGGGGGAGCTCACGTGCAAGGTCACACACCTCATCTTCTCCATCAACCTCTTCGGCAGCATCTTCTTCCTCACGTGCATGAGCGTGGACCGCTACCTCTCCATCACCTACTTCACCAACACCTCCAGCAGCAGGAAGAAGATGGTACGCCGTGTCGTCTGCGTCCTGGTGTGGCTGCTGGCCTTCTGCGTGTCTCTGCCAGACACCTACTACCTGAAGACCGTCACGTCTGCGTCCAACAATGAAACCTACTGCCGGTCCTTCTACCCTGAGCACAGCATCAAGGAGTGGCTGATCGGCATGGAGCTGGTCTCTGTGGTCTTGGGCTTCGCCGTTCCCTTTTCCGTCATCGCTGTCTTCTACTTCCTGCTGGCCAGAGCCATCTCGGCGTCAGGTGACCAGGAGAAGCACAGCAGCCGGAAGATCATCTTCTCCTACGTGGTGGTCTTCCTCGTCTGCTGGCTGCCCTACCACGTGGCGGTGCTGCTGGACATCTTCTCGATCCTGCACTACATCCCTTTCACTTGCCGGCTGGAGCACGCCCTCTTCACAGCCCTGCACGTCACACAGTGCCTGTCGCTGGTGCACTGCTGCGTTAACCCTGTCCTCTACAGCTTCATCAATCGCAACTACAGGTACGAGCTGATGAAGGCCTTCATCTTCAAATACTCAGCCAAAACCGGGCTCACCAAGCTCATCGATGCCTCCAGAGTCTCGGAAACGGAGTACTCTGCCTTGGAGCAGAGCACCAAATGATCTGCCCTGGAGAGGCTCTGGGACGGGGTTGCTTGTTTTTGAACAGGGTGATGGGCCCTGTGGTTTTCTAGAGCAAAGCAAAGTAGCTTCGGGTCTTGATGCTTGAGTAACGTGAAGAGGGGAGCACGTGCCCCCCGCATCCATTCTCTCTTTCTCTTGACGACGCGGCTGTCGTTTGGCTGTACGTGCTGACAGTTTTGCAACAGGCAGAGGTGTGTCGTACAGCAGTGCTGTGCATCAGAGCCAGCTGAGGACGGGCTTGCCTGGACTTCTGTAAGATAGGATTTTCTGTGTTTTCTGAATTTTTTATATGGTGATTTGTATTTAAATTTTAAGACTTTATTTTCTCACTATTGGTGTACCTTATAAATGTATTTGAAAGTTAAATATATTTTAAATATTGTTTGGGAGGCATAGTGCTGACATATATTCAGAGTGTTGTAGTTTTAAGGTTAGCTTGACTTCAGTTTTGACTAAGGATGACACTAATTGTTAGCTGTTCTGAAATTATATATATATATATATATATAAATATATATAAATATATAAATATATGCCAGTCTTGGCTGAAATGTTTTATTTACCATAATTTTATATCTGTGTGGTGTTTCGTACCGGCACGGGATATGGAACGAAAACTGCTCTGTAATGCAGTTTGTGACGTTAATAGTATTGTAAAGTTACATTTTAAAAAAACAAAAAACTGTTCTGGACTGCAAATCTGTGCACACAACGAACAGTCGCATTTCAGAGAGTTCTCTCCATTTGTAAGTTATTTTTTTTAATAAAGATTTTTGTTTCCTAAAAATGCATCAAGTCTCAGTCTTAAAAGTGTGTTTTGGCACTTGAGTAGCATGCGTGGTAGTAATACATGGATATATGCGGCACACACAGGCCAACTGAATGAAGATTTTAGAAGAAGAGTGCTACCGAAAAGCAAAAGCCACCAGGTTAACTTGTTTGAAATGATATAAAAAGAAAAACACTTGAGCACACTGCATAGTTTTTTTTAAAATTTTCAGGCAATAACGTGTTTGGTAGCGGGGGACGATTGCTAGGGTCTAGCGAGATGGTCATGGAGAGAAGGCTGGTACAGAGAAGGTGCCACTTGCTGTCCAGACAGGAGAGTTTCAGGTTGTGGGACTGGTGTCCTCATCTCTACCGCCTGTGTGCTTCCAGGGCCTGTGCAAAGCCCCTTAAATCTCCTCTGCTAAGGTAAACACCTCCAGGGGCAACACTTCCTATACAAAGTCTTCATTTAAACTGTGCCAATCAGCTTCCCTCTTGAGGCCACACAAAGAGCGAATCCCCAGCTTATGCATGTCCTTACTAGTGGTTGGAAAGAGTGCTCTCAGAATGGCCAGTTCCTGCTGGGCCCTCTCTAACTCTACCTGGAGCCACAAGAACGGTGGAGACTTCAACAGACGAGTCAGCTGGGCAGGGGCTCAGAGAGGGGCTGGGCTCCCAGCACTGCCCTCACCACCTCTACCTCTGCCAAGACCTCTCTGCATAGAGAGCTGTTTGCCAACACAAAGGCAGTCCCAGATGCTCATCTGACTTGTGAGCCTGGGGGCTGCTGCTAGGTTGGAAAGCACCCTGTGCAAATCCTTGCCCCACAGACCCACAATGGGCAGCTCTGCAGTCCCCAGGGGCCCACAGACCGAGTCCACTGCAGGGGGCTCCTATTTCCTGCAAAGGGCTTCACAGCTTAGAGTTTTGAAACTAGGGCTGTAACTTACTGGAAATATGTTCTTGATACACATGTACATCCTCAGGTGCACATACACGTGGTCTTCAGTGGGATTCTGATTCGATAACAATAATGTAGGTAGTGGGATAACAGCATACAAAGAGGCAAAGATACCAAGAAGAAGGGAAAATAAGAGTAGGTAGGATGGCAACATGAAATTGGGAAAGTTCTCGACCTAAATATGTGTTCCTTGACAATAAAAATGGATTACATGTTTGCTGTGAACCTTCTAGGCGTCAAGTTCAGGCAGAAATACATTTCTCCAGTAGTAAATTCAAAGTGGGGAGGGGGAGGGGGCATCGATTGCAATCCACACGCTCAGCCGTGCAACAGATGGAACTGTAAAAAGGCATTCAACTGAATTGCTGTGCTGAATTGCCATCGCAGTCCATCCAGGGGTCTCTCCCACCCCCTTACCCTGGAATTTCAGTAGGCTCCCAGGGCCTAACAGTGCTGGGGTGGGTGGGGGTCTTTCAGGCTTGTCTGTCGACCTGGATGTCTGAGACGGCCACTGCCTGTGCCTTCTGCAGGGCTCCTCTGCCACCCCTGTTCCTGTGGCTCTGGCTGCTGTTTTTGCCTCGCTGGACCGTGAGACTGGTTTGGCCCTTTTCTGTTTTTCTGCTGCTCTGCAGCCCGGGGCTCTCCCAGCTGCCTCCTCCCACACTGCAGTGGAGGGGCAGGGAGGGAGGGTGACACTGAACCAGACCCGGACTCACCAGGCGGCACCCTCTGCTTTGGGGGGATTTTCCGTCTCCCACAGGGCCCAGGGCACCGTGGCCTGCTGTCCCAGACCCTCCGACGTCCCTGGGGTCTGCTGTCTGCAGGGGCAGGCTCCATCTCGGAAATGCTCCAGTGACTTTGTTCTCTCTCTTCCTTCTAAAATCCCCTTCTTTGTCCTGCCTGGGGCTGGAAGAGTTGCTGGTTTATTCCCAGTTATCTGGACTCAAAATCTCTTTCCTTTGATTTCCACTGCAGGGTCCTTCCCTGGAGCCAGGAGGGATAACAGAGGCTGGGTCAAGGGGTAGAGTGTCCTGAGGGGAGGGGAGTTAATACTGAAAAAAAGAAATTCAGCCCCACCCTATGACTGTGGTGCAGAGGAGGCAGAGAGAATAGTGAGCCGTGTTTGGATATGGGGTGGGCCTTGAGGGGAGGAGGGATGGACAGGAGACCCCTGGCTCTCCTCAAATCCAGGGACTAGAGGGCCTGCAGTGCTGCTGTGGGAGGGTCGTTCTTTGGTGTCCTTTTCTCTGGACAGATCTTCCAAGACACCCGCCTCCTGATGTGGTAAGAAAGCTGTTAGCACTATGACCTTGGACCCCAGGAAGGATGTCTGGAGCTCCAGGCAGAGTGGGACCTCAGAGTTGGGAGAAAAGCAGTTTTGACTTTCTTGACGGTGCTTCCTGGATCCTTCTCCCACCCCAGGGAGAGGGGAACATTTTCTTCTCCATTCCTGTCTAATACTCTGCTCCTGTTTCATGGTTGAAATGCCCAAGGCATGGCAGGCGGTGGGCAGCGGAAGGCCACCCCCAGCAGCCCGGATGGCAGCCCGTCATCGGTGAGTCATTGTTAAATGCTTTCCATCTGGTTCAACGTACGAGCTGCTAACCTTGATTGTACCCTGGGTTCCGTGCAAGTGAAGAAGAAAAATAATGCCGCTCAAAAGGCCAGATGGAAAATAATCTGGACACACAGGAATACAATCTATTTGCTGGCCGATGGCTTTTGGTCCTTCCAAGAGTCTCGCAGCAACCTGGGATGGGACCCGAGTGATATCTGTGGTCAGATCTGGCAGAGCAGCAATACATTTTAAATCTTCTGTAGCAGGATACTTCCTGGGGCCTCTCCAGGAGGCAGCAGCTCCAGGGCATGGTCTATTTTACTAGGAATGTGGAAATTCTGCCTTACTGGACTTCTACTCTGAGGACATTGGCTATAAATACATAATGGATCTGGGAGATGTCACATCTAGGCTAAGCACAGGTATCTCAGAACTCTGGGGAAACGTGGGGTGCTGTGGATCTGCCCTGATGGGATGGATGGCTGAGGAAGACAGCAGAGAAAGTTCCCAGAGCTTCCTCCTGGAGGTATGGGTTTTCGCCCCTAAGTGCCAGGGATACCTCTGCATGGGTTTATGCCACTGAGATTTTAGTCCTTCAGGGGTGGTGGTTTCAGGTGGGTTAAATGCTTTAAAAGATCGACCCACTACTATAGAACATTTTTCACTTCCTCTTTCTCAGTCTTGGATTTCCCAAGAAAAGCTCCCTGGTGGTTTGCATTTACGCAGGGCCTGCTAAGATCCCGCAATCTCGATATCACTGACATTTGATATGGAACAAGATTAGTTTGAATGAGGTTTGATAGGACGTTAAATCACTCCAACGCAGTTGAGATTTACAGTGGTTCGTTTGCCTTGAGGATGGCTGAGGACGGCCTGACTCTTCCATAAACTCTTCTGGTAGAGTAGCAGAGTTTGCTCACCTCACAGTCTCTGATGTGCACACACACCCGTGCATACACCTGGACTTGCTACCATCTGTGTGACCAACATGTGCTCTTGGACACAGCTTTCACGTGCGTGTTTAGGACCATCCTAGTGAGAGCCTGGGCCACAGGGTTGAGATCCACTTTCTCTAAGTCTCAGGCCTCTGCCAAGTGTGTAGCCTGAAGAGCCATCACTGTTTTCTATCCTGGGAAATGTGGGCCAGGTTTTCGCTTTGCTAAACTTAGCCTCCTTGTTTATAATGTTGCATGATGATAGTACTTGATTCATAGGGCAATCATGATGATCAGATCACAGTCTCTGCAAAATGCATGTCACGGTGCCTGGGGCACACATAGTGCATGATCAGAGAACAACAGCCATCCTGACCACATTCTCTGGGCATAATTTGCATTTTTCTTGAGAAGAAACAATGCATTTCAGAGAAATGGGGCAAGAGAATATCTGCCCGTGGGTGGTGAGTGAAAAGATGAGGCACATCTGTCTCACACTCATTCTAACCAGGGCAATTTGCACCTTCAGGAGACATTTGCCAATGTCCAGAGACATTTTAGTTGTCCCAACTTGGGGTGGGGAATGCTCATGTCATCTTGTGGGTCAAGGCCAAGAATGCTGCTGAACAGCCAGTGGTACACAAGATGGTCCCCAAACAGAGAATTACTGCTACGGCTTGGCTGTGTCCCCACCCAAATTTTGCTGATACGGCTTGGCTGTGTCCCCACCCAAATCTTATCTTGAACTGTAGCTCCCACAACTCCCATGTGTTGTAGGAGGGACCTGGTGGGAGACAACTTGAGGCAGCTGGGAGAAAAGCAGCTTTGGCTTTCTTGATGGCATTTCCTGGAGCCTCCTCCCAATCATGGGGGCAGTTTCCACCATACTGTTCTTGTGGTAGTGAATACGTCTCATGAGCTCTGATGGCTTTATACGGGGTTTCCCTTTTCGCTTGGCTCTCCTCCTCTCTTGCCTGCTGCCATGTAAGACTTGCCTTTCACCTTCCACCATGATTGTGAGGCCACCTTCCACCATGATTGTGAGGCCTCCCCTGACATGTGGAGCTGTGCGTTCATGAAACCTGTTTTTCTTTATAAATTACTCAGTCTCAGGTACGTCTTTATCTGCAGTGTGAAAACAGACTAACACAATTACTGAGTCCCAGATGTCAACTGAGTGGAGGTGGAGAGACCCTGGCCTAGGATAAAACCAGTCATTAAGACACAAGCCTTCTTTCTGGATGCCATTCACTGCCTGGGGAATTCACTGAGGGTACAAAGAGCACCTGGGGAAAAGCATCTGAGTCCTTAGAGCCGTGGCTTCTCCATTTCCTGCCCCTCAATTCAGCAGAACCCTAACAGGCCAGGGCAACGCAGACAATCATGCTATGTGGATTCACACCAGCATCTCCACTGTGCCCGAATATGTTTCAACTACAGGAATTTGGGGCATTTGCCATTTACATAAAAGATGTACTCCTGAAATAGGAACACACAAATTAAACATTAGTAGACATTTTAAGTACCCTTGAGAGGTTTTAAATTTTAGTTTAAGATTTAAAGTATTTT